GAAATTTCTGGCCTCCAATACTAGCATCTTAAACTCCAATTATCTCAATAAAGCTAAACACTTCAATTTTCACAATCGATACAAACATTCCCACATATGTCCAATGTGAAAGATTATGAGGATATGAGCAATTGTTGTGAGGAAATCTTTATTTAAAAATCTAAAGCAGCTTTGTTTCCAACACAGTGCTATTTAAACAAGTACACAGCGGGATCTAATTTGTCATATTGATAAAAAGTCAGGTTTAGATTATGAACAAAATTAAAAACAATTATGTTGCATATACTCTATATTTATTATCCTAATTATGTACAGCATTATAAAACAAAATTACAAGCAGGTTTATCAATACAGAAGATCCAACAATAACTGCCTTGCTCATTCTCCGACATTGTATACTGAGAAAAGTGGTTTTCACAAGCCTCACCATGCTCACTGCACTAAATATTAATATTAAGAAAATATTTACAAATTCTACAATGTCTAATAAGGCATCATTATGAATGTCAATGATGGTTACAATGGCCGCGTCTCAATTCGCAGGCTGCCTACTTCGGAGTGTATGTATTTATGTATATATACATATATATACACATATATGTATGTGTGTGTGTGTGCGTGTGTGTATGTGTGTGTGTGTGTATGTATATATGTATGTGTATATATATATATATATATATATATATATATATATATATATATATATATATATATATATATATATATATATAGCAGCACACAGATGAGCTTGGAGTCTTCTGACTGAGAGTGGGACATCATCTGGGGGGTCGGGGTGCCTCTCTCCACTGTTCACCACATCGTCCATCAGGGTTTGCAGGGCTGACCCAATCGACGGCTGCCATGTTTCTAAAAATGTTTTAAAAGACGCAGAAAATAATGACTTTACTAAAACTGTTTTCATAACCCTGAAATGAGAACAGCTAAAATGTGATTCTACTTGCCATCTAAATGTAACAGTGGTCGGGTAGACCCTCCTCCAGAGCAGACACCTCAGCAGACAGCTGGTCCCGCCATGGAGCACCACTGACTGCCTCCAACACCTTCTCCCCTCCTCATCCTCTGGCATGTCATCCTCTGGGGCAGTGATGTCACCGGCTCCCAGGCAGATGTTGTGCAGGACAGCACCTGCCGTTATGACCTGTAGAAAAAAAAAGACAAAAATATTTATTTTTATTCATTCATCTATCTTTTTTTCATTATCTTTATTACATGATTTATTAGAATTCAAATGTTACTTGATCTAGATCCACTATTTACTATTTACTATTTACTATTTACTTTATTTTTTTCCTGTATTATGTTTTTTTATATATATAATTGCAAATAAAATCAGGCAGTAAGGGGATAACAATTTAGACAAAAAATGATTTATTTCTCAACAGTTTGGCTTCTCAACACAACATTAGTGATAGTGAAAGTAGTGATTTAAGTCAGTTATTTACAGGGTTTGTACACATTTAACTATTCAATTCAAATTACTAAAGTTACAAACAAATAAATTACAAACTAAATATAAAATTTGATATTTAAACATATTCATCAATCTGCTGACAAGCGTTTATCATTTAACTATCATTTAATGCAGGAATAAATTGCAGACATTTTTATGTGTGCATGCATTTTGGTTGTATTAATGTTGATGCTAATTCAAATCAAATGTCCTTGTAATAGTAATGTGCAAATAAACAGAGCAGCATTTTATGTCACCAAATAAAGACATTGGGAGTTTGCATCCCTGCAGTGGTTCCCCTAGCAATGTTGTTTATGAAAATCTAGGTTAAAGTTGTACTGCATTATGTGTGGCATATTATTTTTATTTTGTCTTATCCTGATAAATAGTTTCAGTTAGTTTTAGCATTTAGCATACATGTGTAGCTGCCGAGGTGTTTTGTGTTAGCTGTAGTGCATTTGCAGCTCCTAGATTACCTTAAACGTCTGTCTGCTTTAATCAAACTTGCAATTTAACTGAAACTATTGCCCGGCCAGTATAACATATCTAAGTTAGCATAAATTTAACTTCACATTCAGTTCTATCGACAAGTGGCTATGGTGGCTACGTGCTAACAAGCTAACGTAACGTAGCCAGCCTGGATACTAAATGCTACGAATCACCACCAATCTTTCTGTTAACTTACCGTAATGTCTTTGTGTTGAACTGCGACGTGTCTCTTCAGGTTAGTTGTGTTTTTTCCAGCTATCATGTGGCCACATTCCTTCCCTTCCACTAAAATCAAGCATTTGGTTTTGTTCTTCACTTCAATGAAGTGAAAATGTGTCCATAGATCACGTCTCCTCTTTCTCCTGAGCTCCGGGCAAAGCATGTTTTACTTTTAACCTGTCGCCGCCTCGTCTCTGTGTCCGCCCGCTCCAGGTTTGAAAGTGGGTGTGTGGCGGAGGAAGAAGGATTAAAAGAAAAACATTAAATAATATGTACCGAATACCGAGTTTGGGGAACCCCTTCCGGAAACAGTGATGGAATGACGTTGCATGATCCCCCCTCCCTCCCTCTGGGATTCCCAATAGATTGCAGATGCCACACAAGCACACAAAATGACAGAAAGATCCGAGCGTTTTAGTTTACCACAGATTGGTGAATTTAGATCAAGATATAAGAAGCATTATTTCTGCATAACATGGCATCAAATATCCTGTAGCTATAAGTAGCCTATAATAATCTACTATTAATTAATACACTGAATTTCAATGATGGTTAAAAGAAGAATGCCCGAAACGTCACGGCATAAAAAAAAAAGATACTCACGGGTGTGGATTTCTTCTTTTCATCTGCATTTCTAAACTTCACCATGGACCAATTTTGCATTAATGACTGAAACGATGGTGACAAAATTAAAACCCACTGATGAAAGAAAAGAGGCCTGATGAGACCGAGTCGCTGAGGACGTTTTTATAACCTAAAATGATCCATGAGCACGCGACCGATTGAATGGACGGATGATCCACGGACCTTTGTTGATTAAGTTATTTGTTTTGCAAAAAAGATTAATTATAATCATTTTTCATTAAATAATAGAGATGCAGATAAATAGAAATAAACAGTTCTCAGATAAGATCAGAGGTGTATGAAATAAGATAATGCAGTCACTATGTTAAATTAATTCCTTAACTTTATTTTAATCAAAATCATCATATCATCATAAGATTTTGGTTGTTTATGCAAATGGTCTCAATAAACTTTTCAGTTGACTGCAGGCCCACAAACGTCACCTTTAGCACGGCAGAGCTCCCAAGTGCCGCCTGGTGGTTGTCCAGGTACATTGCATTTCTTATTTAAATAAAAAAAAACTGGCCTCAGGAAATACATCGTGATTCACACAAGAATCACACAGGAATCAGGCTGGAAACCGTTCATTTCCAACCAGTGCCCACTGTAAACCTGCAGATTGAGAGCAAAGTGCTCTGTGAGGAACATAAGGAACAATCATATCACTTATATCAGATGGATTCTGGTTAATTAGAGCTTTATATGTGATATGGAGCATTTTAAATTCTTAACAGGAAGTAAATGAAGAGAAGCTAGAGTAGGAGAGATATGGTATCTGTTTTTAATTTTCATCAGGACTCTGACTGCAGCATTTTGGATCAGCTGAAGACTTTTTACTAGTTTGTGGACTTCCTGACTAAAGAATTACAATAGTCCATCATTGAAGTAACAAATGCATGGACTAGTTTCTCAGAATCCCCCCTGGACAGGATATTTCTCTGAAGATAAAAGAAGGAAATTCTAGAAACCTCTATGATATGGGATTAAAATGGCAGCTCATGCTCAACCTCTGACACAATGAGCTGGGGTCTGTCTCTTCCAGGCAGAGGTGTACATAGAGATGGGGATCGTTAATATTTATTGATATCGATACCTTTATCGATACTCCTTATCAATCCGAGTCTTTATCGATACCCCTATCGATACTTTTCTTTTATTTGGTGGAAAGACGATGCGACAATATGTTTTTAACAGAACTGCTATTGCTTTTATTGCTTAACAAGTGAGCATAACAAAAACGTTTCTAGCCTTCAATAAACATGGCTAATGTAATAGGCCACTTCGAATTGACATAAAACTAACTAGAATATATTTTCACAATTGTTGGTGAATGTATTGTCTACTGTCACTTTTCATCATGTTTTTAGTGATTAGGAAAATATTTAGCAAATAAATAATTTATTTTAAATTAAATGTAATTTTTAATAAATGTTGGCATCAGTAGTTTAATTATATATTCTAAAATAATTAGAGCAATATACAACTCAATTTCCCTTTTCTTTACGTTACACTTGAACGCATCATGATAACCTAATTGTCGTTTCACTGAGCCAATCTGAACACATCGTCACGCAGCACGTCTGAAACTTTATTTACTTTTCAAGCTAACTAGCTTGTATGCTGCCGATTACAACATGGATTTCACAATTACTATTTTTAACTGACCGGACACGCTACAAAGTCTGTGTGCGCACTGACCAGTGGTACTCTGAGTGGATGATGAAGACGGGCCCGACTGTGGTGCGGAGGCAGTAGCAGGAGGAAGAGGAGTCTTTTCAACCAGGAGACAGTCGAAGGTACTGCATTTGGCCTTTATTTGATGCACAATGCTAATGTGCTTGGCCATTGAGATTGTGTTCCCCCCCTTTACAAGAGATGATTTTGCAACATAAGTTGCATTTCGCGTCTTCTTTATCTTTGAGCTTGGTAAAATGAAGCCAAACTTTAGACCTTTTCGTCCGTTCAGCCATCCTCGAGTTGCGAGCGAAGTTAACTGCCAGACTTTACTTGTTTTACTTTTAATATCTGTTTTGCTTACAATTTCTTTCCAAAACATTGGTGGACATGCAGCAGCGATTGGATTGATTAGATTAAAAATGCTGTGACGCGACTCGAGGGACACACAACTATTTAACAGGACCTCCGGGAGAGAAAAAAAAAAACAAAAACGACCAGAATCGATAGTGGTATCGATAAGCCCAAACGTTATTGATTTTCGGGTTTTGAAAAAAGTGGAACCGGGTCCTTGATAGAACCGGGTTTCGATCCCCATTTCTAGGTGTACAGGAAGCGCTGCTGAGTTTATGGTGTCTCATTACTTCCTCATTTGCCAGACAGTCACTGTGGTGTTGGATGTAAACGCTTTACTTTCCTTAATAATTGTTTGTGGACAAATAAATTTAGGCCAGAATAAACTTCATATCTTCAGGTTGCTTGATAGGATCCACTCGCTCCTCAACCTCAAGGAGAGAGTTTGGTGCTTTTATGTGAGGTGTCCTTTATTAAACCACCAATAGAACGCCTTTTTGCTGTGTTTGTCTTTCCAGACCGCCTGCAGGATTATGTTGGAAAAGAGGAGGGTTTCTCTGACCATCAGCTCTGTGGACAGGAGAGGAAATCCAGTTTGGATCAAGAGGAGTCGAAACATCCGCAGATAAAGGAAAAGCATCAAAAGCCAGAACATCTCTGGATAAAAGAGGAAACCATGGAGCTCCCCATAAGTGAGCAGAAAGAGCAGCTTGTTCTTAAGCAGAATATTAAAGATACAAGAGAGAAACCTTTCCCATGTTTGACATGTGGAGAAAACTTTCTTAAAAAAAAGCATTTAATGGCTCACATGAGAACTCACACAGGTGAGAAGCCTTTTGAATGTCTGTCCTGTGGAAAAAGCTTCACTAAGAAATCTAATCTTGATACACACATCAGAATTCACACAGGTGAGAAGCCTTTTGAATGTCTGACCTGTGGAAAAAGCTTCACTAGGAAATCTAATCTTGATACACACATCAGAATTCACACAGATGAGAAGCCTTTTGAATGTCTGACCTGTGGAAAAAGCTTCACTAACAAATCTCAGCTTGATACACACATCAGAAGTCACACAGGTGTGAAGCCTTTTGAATGTCTGTCCTGTGGAAAAAGCTTCACTAACAAATCTCAGCTTGATACACACACCAGAATTCACACAGGTGTGAAGCCTTTTGAATGTCTGTCCTGTGGAAAAGGTTTTACCTCTAAGTCTGATCTTAATAAACACATCAGAATTCACACTGGTGAGAAGCCTTTTGAATGTCTGTCCTGTGGAAAAAGCTTCACTAATAAATCTAATCTTGATACACACATCAGAACTCACACAGGTGAGAAGCCTTTTGAATGTCTGACCTGTGGAAAAAGCTTCACTAACAAATCTTCTCTTGATACACACATCAGAATTCACACTGGTGAGAAGCCTTTTGAATGTCTGACCTGTGGAAAAAGCTTCACTAACAAATCTCATCTTGATACACACACCAGAATTCACACAGGTGTGAAGCCTTTTGAATGTCTGTCCTGTGGTAAAAGCTTCACTAGGAAATCTTCTCTTGATAAACACATCAGAATTCATACTGGTGAGAAGCCTTTTGAATGTCTGTCCTGTGGAAAAAGCTTCACTAACAAATCTTCTCTTGATACACACATCAGAATTCACACTGGTGAGAAGCCTTTTGAATGTCTGACCTGTGGAAAAAGCTTCACTAACAAATCTCATCTTGATACACACACCAGAATTCACACAGGTGTGAAGCCTTTTGAATGTCTGTCCTGTGGTAAAAGCTTCACTAGGAAATCTTCTCTTGATAAACACATCAGAATTCACACTGGTGAGAAGCCTTTTGAATGTCTGTCCTGTGGTAAAAGCTTCACTAGGAAATCTTCTCTTGATAAACACATCAGAATTCACACTGGTGAGAAGCCTTTTGAATGTCTGTCCTGTGGAAAAAGCTTCACTAACAAATTTTCTCTTGATACACACATCAGAATTCACACTGGTGAGAAGCCTTTTTCCTGTACCATTTGTAACAATAAATTTAATCAAAAGAGTCATTTGACTAAACACATGAGAATTCACGGGTGTGAAGCCTTTTGAATAAGTCACAGCAGTGAGATGCCACAGGAATGAGCAGTAGAGGTGTTTACCATGTTTGACTGGTGATATAATGTCCATCTAGAAACTCCTTCACCTCATTACATGAGAAACTCACAGGTTAATGTCCTTTTTTGAGGCAAGTTTTGAGAAAGCCATTAATCAAAAGCTCTGTTTACATAGATACCAGAACAGATAATGTGTTATATCGTAAATCTGGTAAATACTCCGGTCCTATGATTTATTTTTATTTATTTTTTTGTTTGTGTCCTTTTATTGCCAATATGTAATCTGTACCTGAGCTTTTCATGACAGTCTGAACAATAAAAATCTGATTTTGCAACAATAGTTCTGGACCATTTATTGAAAAAGTGAGAATTTAAGAGGTTTTTTTACAACTCGAATTTGTGTAGTTGTACACTAAAATTAAAAAACAGTTTTTTCTATTATTCTACAATTGTTGATATAATTCAGTTGTGGTTGTTTTTTTTGTCTCAATTTTATAAACCAGTTTACTAATCCTGACTGCAACTTTCTTAGCACTAAATTTGAGCTATTCCTATTACCTCAAAGGTGAAAGTTCCATCAATGAAATATTCTTAATGAGGTTACTAATTTCTGTGCAGAAATCCCTATTATGCCAGAGGTTAGTTCAATTACCAAATAAAGGGTGATGGTGATTTACATTTAGTCAAAGAGAGAGCAAAAGTAACAGCAATGATCAGTTAAAGGGAATGGTGATATTTGACCACACAATATTATAAATCACGTAAGGAATCAACTAGGGCTGCAACAACAAATCGATAAAAATCGACTTAAAAGCGTTGGCAACGAATTTCATCATCGATTAGTTGTGTCGCGCGATTAATGCGTCATCCGCCGCCGCCGTCATCACATCCACTTGACTGAAACGGGGGAAGAAATAAAAAAATACGGCAGAGCGAGCGAGCGCCGCAGGTGCAGCGTTGCCAACTCAGCGACTTTTCAGACCCCTCCAGTGACTATTTTTCAAAAAAGCGACTAGCGACAAATCTGGCGACTTTTTACGGTGTCACTGGCAGCTTTTGGAGACTCTTACGTGAAAGCATGTATCATTCCTACTCTGCCGTGGGGCGCCTCCCCCATCCAAACCAAGTTCTCCCGCAGGAGTCCCTCTCAGCGCTGCAGTCAGAGCCAGGATGTTTACCCTCAGCGTCCAGACTGCAAATGAAGCACGCATGCGCCGAGATTGACGGCGCAAATTGATCACAATAATTAAAATAGCCTGCGCTTTGTAAAGCGACAAAAGTCGTAACATGCAACTTTTGTCACAACAAATTAACATGGCAGGGAACCACCATGTTTTATTTCACCATGTTTAAGTGGGGAAACGTAACGTTAGTTTCTCAGGTAGCTCATCTGATGCTTTCCTTACCGTGTTAGTAGGTTACAGATAGTGATAAGGTTGGCTTCTTATTTTACTTTTAATTTCATTTGAATTAGCTTAAGCAGCATTTATATTTACTTTATAAATACATTAACTTGCAAATTATGAGGGCAAGGCTTTTAAAGTTTAAATCTTCTGGCAAAGATAAAGTAAAGATCCTGCAATTTATGGAAGTAAAGCAGAATAAAATCCAGCAAGATCAGTAATATGTCAATTAATTATATGCCACATTCCCATGTAAATATTGGTCTTTGGAGGATGTGTTTTTTTAGCACCCCTAGTTGTCTCATTTTTATTCCAAATACAATTTATAATTTGAATCACAGGGCTATTTTTATCTCTATGGTTAAGTATTTTCTCAAGTAGCAACTTTAACTGCTATACTTTCCTGTCTTAAAAGGCAGAACTCTTCTAGTCTAAAAAAAACTCAGTTGTTGAAATGGGGGGACCTATTGTTTGAACCCCTTAGGGGCTTTAAAAAACAAAAATGTATTTTTTTTGCACTTTATGAAACAAAGTAGCCTATATTTTGTGGATGTACAGCTACATTTCTCATGGAAGTTTGCGTAGTTTTAACCCAAACATTTATTTTTCATATTGCACCAGTACAGTTAATGAGCAACCTGTACTTGTGGGCTTGTTTGTTCTGTCTAAAATGTTTATTTTGGAATAAAGAGGTTAATATAAAAAATATTTTTTGTCCGATTCATCGATTAATCGAAAAAATAATCGGCCGATTCATCGATTTTTAAAATAATCGTTAGTTGCAGCCCTAGAATCAACCAATAGTCTACTTGAGAAATTTAATCAGGTGTTTTGTCTCAGATGCTTTGATCTCCAACAATCAGATTAAAACTGGAGAATAAAAATATCCTCAATGAGAGGATGTCATGAATCGGTGTTTGTATGGAGGACCCAAACGCAGAGACCAGTAGGCAGAGTTGAATTAAAGTGGTTTTATTAAAGTTCACAGATCCAGGAGCAGGAATCAGGGTCCAAAAGTAAACAGCAAACCGTAAAAATTCAAAAAATATCCACTGGACTTGGTTTTCAAGATTTGAAGACATTTCGCCACCTCTCCAGGAAGCTTTCTCAATTGAAATGTCTGGATCCGCAGTGAGTTTGAGTCTTATATGGACAAGGCCTTGTATTGCTTGGAAACATGCAATGGTAACCGATGAATGGGTCGTTTAGTTCCATCGTTAGCCTGTAATATCTGAACCTGTCTATGATTTCTAGGGGTCGGTAGTTAAAGGGGTGATTGCCCCCTTTGACTTCAGTGAAGTATTTAAGCTTCCACTGCTTTATTTCCTTTAGGTTGAATTTGTTATTTGTTAAACACAGTCCCTCGAAATATGAATTGGCTACAATATAATGATTATTTTTAAAGTCTTATTCTTGATTTTATAAAAACATTGTACATTTAAAATACAATGAAACAAAAAAAGAACATAATTACTTATTACAAAAATGTCCTGCTATATAGATCCTTTCTATAACAACTGTTATGCTTTATTAAGACTTAGACAAACATCAATGTAATTTTCTATGCAGAGTTTATACAAAATTAAATTTGGGAAGTCCAGGCTCTGTATCACAGGTGGTTTGTGCGGTAAATGTGCTTGAACTCAAGCGAAGTCAATTCTTTACGCCGCTCATTCCGGGCTATCATGGAAAAGTTTCACAAGTCTTAATCAGATCTATGAGAAAAACAGAACACATTCAGAAGTGCTGTCTAAATGCCATGTCGCCCTGACGCCCTACCGGAGAACCCCGAGCTCCCCCCTGCGCCTGTGGAGCAACATGCCAATGCTGCGGGGATGCGTACGCGCAGTAATCTCATCCACAGTCACTTCTTGTGAGCCATTTGGTATGTGCATTTTTCTACTGGCCAATACAAAACACCTGTTTTGTTTTTTTACTGCAGTGAAGTAGAAATTCAGCCACATACCACCTTAGGGAATAAAGGTTGCCAAAGTTTTATATATATATATATATATATATATATATATATATATTTAATTTTTTTTTTTTTTGAGGGGGTGGGGGTGTCACTATATTTAAATTTCTTAATGCACTAGTTTGTACAAACTACAAACTACTTTGCTGCAACCCACAAAACACGCAAAACCATCATTTAAATAGGGCGTCTCCAACAGTTTTGCACCTGCCACCAGTTACGCAATCACTCTTGTTAAATCACCCGCAAACCATGGTTCAGCCCCTTGCGCAAAATTCCAGTTTGCAAGCGCAAATTACTTCACGCAAAATTGGATCTTGAGAAATCCGGCCCATAGTGTCAACCCAGTCTCATGGGAAAATGTACCCCCACTACGTTGGTCCACACTGCAAAACGTAGTGGAGGTACATTAATGGCCATTTTTTTGTGGTACTGTTACGTTTCTTCTGCCTATACGCTTTCTATTGTTTTACGTCCTAGTCACGTGACTTTCAAGATTCCAGCTGGGAGAAGAAAAAAAACATATATATGGCCGACATTCGCTCATTTTTTTGTGGAAATATTAATGACTTGAGTTTGTTTTTGCATTAAAATGAGTTTTGATTACATTTCTAGTGAGAAATGTATAGTTTGTTGCCAGAATATTTACTCAGGGAATGTACATATTCACTTGCTTGTTCGTTTCTTGCAAAGATTTTTCAAGATAATGTGAAACTGTAACATTTTGGTATAAACATGGCTGAGATTTCTCTAAATTTTAGTGGGAAAATCAATAATTTCAATCAGTTTCTGCATTTAAATGGGTTTTGATTACATTTATAGCGAGAAGTGTAGGGTTTATTTACATAATATTTACTTCGTGAACATACATAATCACCCGCTTGCTAGTTTTTGCTACGTTTTTCGGATCTCGTCAGGATTATGTGAAATTGCAACGTTTTGGCTGCTACCCATCGCCTAGCATTTAGCTGCCGCCCCGATTCAACATTGAATTCTTTGTGATTTAACTCCATCTGACGGATCAAACCCTCGCCACTGCGTGCGTTGCGTCTGAGGTTGATTTTCAGATCAATGCATTACGTCGTGGCATACGGGAGAAACTAATTAAACTAGTTTAAAAAAAGGATCATGGGTTAAGATCGGATGTGTTTTATTTGGAAATCTACCGGATCCTTTGTGCAATTAACTTCCTGTTTGGTGGGATCTCATTGATGGGTTTTGACCAGATTTTGACCAAAGAGGAACTAAAAAAACAAAAAACAATTTGAATACACAACCAGCATATCTGGAATCAGTGACAGAGAGCGACTGGGACCAGACGTTTATTAATTTCTCCCCATTGATTTCCATTCAAAATGTTTTCGATCCCACCGGGCTCTAGGGAAGGGGCGGGCATACCGCCACCTACTGTTCATGAGTGTGTAGCAACATTGTTTTACATCTATTAAATTCTATTTTTTAATTTTGTATTCTGAAGATAAATAAATAATGCTTTCCTTAATCTATAAATATCTTTTATATTTCCTTTATTTCCCAATAATCCTTTAAGACTCCATTCTTGGCCTGTCCTTTCAACTCTTTTCAATTTCTTCCTTTCAGGTCCAGATGTTTTACATTTCCTCAATACGTGTTCTATATTTTCTATCTCTCCACATCCTTCACATTTATCATTATTTTTCCTCCCTATTAAGTATAAATTGTCATTTAAATAAGTATGACCTACTCTTAATCTGATCATTATTATTTCTTCCCTTTGGTTTCTCTCATTAATATTTCTATTTAATACTGACTTTTGTACTTTATATAACCTTATTCCTTTTTATCTTCATTCCACCTTTTTTGCCATTTTTCAATTTCTTTCCTCTTAATAAATGATTTTCCTTCCCCTTTCCCTAAAGGAATTGTAATTGTTATTTGTCTACTTTTCATTCCACCTAACTTTCCATTAATTAGCTTGAAAACAGCACTTTGTAGGCACCCAGTTTCTCTAACAATGGCCCCTTTTGGGTTACCCTCCATGCATTGGGTGTCAGTTCAGTGGCAGTTCCAGAACATTTTCTTAGGGTTGACCAGGCAGCACAATAATGTGCATGTGGCCAAAAAGTAATAGGGATCAAATTCGGTTCAGAGTCAAGCTATTGGGATCAGGCATCAGGTTCAATTTGCATATTTTCTTAGCCAAAACAAGGATTTGTTGGGCTACTGTAATTTTGAATTGAAAAACGTCCTGAATGGGAAGTCTTCAAACTTGAAAAACAAAGTCCAAAGTTTTTTTTTTTTTTTTTTTTGGAATGATTATGACCTGGATGTCTAAGAATCTTCACCAGCTTATCAGGGAAATGAATGCCCACAATGTCTATATTCTCCAAAAGAGAATAACAGAACAGACCTTCATGAGCTGTGCATATATTAATGCATCTATGCTCTTCAAATAACTTTCTGGTTCGACGCAACATTTACATTAAATGGGTTGAGAGGTTGTTCTTTACCAGTAAATTAGAGCTGGGCGATATGGCGATATATATCGTGAGGACGAGAGAAACATGTCTATCGTGACCTTTCTCCTCTATTTTTTCTATCGTGATAAACTTTTTTATTATTATTATTACTGCTAATATACATTTTAATATAATTTGTTAATATAACATTTTGCGTTTTTGCTATGCAAACTCTAAGTGTATATAACGAAAAAAAAGAGAATAAAAAGATAATGTGTAGAGAACGTGGTTTTGCGACACTACACCGCTTTACGTCACGCGGCTTTGCACCATGATGGACAACCAAGAAGATGTTACCACAGCAGTGGTTACAGAGTCCGAAACGGTTGCCAGGTCACAGACACAACAAACACCACTTTTGCCCAAAAGGGGAGGCAGCTCGGTTGCTTGGTTATATTTCGGATATCAGCCATCTGATAAAGAACAAACGCAGCCGATATGTAAACTGTGCAGCAAAGCCGTTCCAGCGGCTGATGCAAATACTTCCGGCCTCTTTTACCACCTGAAGCATTCGCCCAAGGATCACAATATGAGAAGACGTCTCAGCGACACAAGCAGATCACAGGTGCTATTTCACGCTATATCTGTAAAGGCATGGCCCCCGTTTACATAGTCGAGAAAGACAGCTTTCGGGACCTCGTCCGTACACTCGATCCCAGATATGTGATGCCTAGTCGAAAACATTTCAGTAAAGTGGAGCTGCCTGGCTTATATGCTAGTTGTCGGGCTCAAGTGGAGAGAGAGCTATGCAGTGGTGCAACGCATTATGGGTTGACTACGGACATGTGGATGAGTAGAGCAACACAGCCTTATATGAGTCTCACCATCCATTTCATCAAGGACTGGACCCTCCGCGCTCGGTGTCTACAGACCGTGTACTTTCCTGAGGACCACACCGGAGTGATGCTCGCCCAAGGTATGAGCCTGACATTGCTATGCACTTTTGTGTGTTCGCTAGTTTTACTATTATTGGTTTTACTAATATGCTTACACCAATGAACTGTGTGCTTTTACAGCATACGCATGTTATTCCAAATTTCCAATTAGTTATCTCCATACACCTAAGAACGTATGTCTGTGGGTTTTCTCTACGTCGCCTCGTCAGCTGATTCTAGTCACGTGACTGACACAATTATTTATAGATATAGGAAAACAGCATCTGTGTTTTATGATCCTATGTCAACTATAGCAGTGGTTTTTAATTCTGTCTGTCTGTCTGTCTATTTATCTATCTGTCTGTCTGTCTGTCTGTCTAGGTCTGAGAGATGCCTTGGAGTCATGGGGACTGCAAGAAAGAAATCTTGTCTGTGTCACCACAGATAATGCTTCCAACAACATCTCTGCAATGGAACTGAATGAGTGGGAGCGGTTGCAGTGCTTTGGTCACCGTCTACAGCTAGCCATCGGTAAGTGTAAAATCTTTAAAATGGCTTAAAGTAATTTTGAAAAGTAAAAATATGAACTGAAGTTGGTGTTCCTGCAAACATAACTGAACAAGTTATTCTTTCCATTTCATTTATTATTTTGATTGTCATCATGGTACACCACAAATTGTAATATTTATATTATATATTAATATTAGAATAATTTTATACATTTAAATAAATAAAAATTCATATCATAATACATTCACTAAATGATTAACACAATCCATAAATCATTTAAGTCATCCATGATTATAGAAAAAAATGTGCTGTCATTACATCACTTTTTCTTTTGATTTCAATAGAGAATTCTCTAAAAGACCTCACCCCAACATCCACAAGGCAGGCTGTAGAAAGAGCAGTGGGTGTCTGCAAGAAAGTGGTGAGTGCCTTCTCCAACTCGTGGAAGAGGAAACGTGAATTGGCCAAAGCCCAAGCAGCACTGGGCTTGCCTCCCCACCAGCTGATCACCGAAACCCCCACCAGGTGGGGCTCCCGCCAGCAGATGGTTGCACGCTTCTTGGAGCAGGAGAAAGCCCTTTCACAGGTCCTCCTTGCAGATAAGAAGGTGAGATGTGGCCACTGGACATTACACAAATATATGGGCTCACCGATTGTTCTCATTGTGGATGCTGATGAGATTTGCAGGCCAGAATTCACTTTATTAAAGTGTCCAATATTTTTTTTTATTTTTCTTAGGCAAGACATCTTGTTCCGAGCTGGCAAGACGTGTCAATCCTGGATTCGCTCAACAAAGCCTTGGGCCCTCTGTTTGAATTTACCGATGCTTTGTCGGGGGAGAAATATGTAAGCGTGTAATTTCTGAAGCCAGTGCTACGTCTCTTTAACGATGAGATCCTCACCCCAAAAGAAGACGAAACAGAGCTCACAAAAGCATTGAAGGGAGGTGTTCTCAAATACCTCAATGACAAGTACGACGACCCAGCCACAAACGACCTCCTTGACATGGCGACACTGGTCGACCCAAGGTTCAAGACAACTTACATGAGGGAAAACCGGGTGGAGCTCATCAAAAACAGAGCTGTCACACAGCTGCTGGGAATGGTGGAGGGAGAGACGGCACCAGCAACTGAGGCAGCAACAGGCTCAGCTAATGTTCCTGAGGACCTCAATCCAACGAAGAAAAAGGAGACCCTGGCCAGTTATTTTAAGAAGGCAGTGCAGGGAAACACCCACACCCTGCGCAACAGAGAAAGCCTTGAACTAGAGCTCGCCATGTACCTCCAAGCACCTGGGCCTGACTCAGAAGCAGACCCGCTGGAGTGGTGGAAGCTGCACGAGCCTAATTTTCCATCTGTGGCTCAGCTTGCTAGGAAATATCTATGCATACCGGCCACAAGTGCATCATCTGAAAGGGCCTTCAGTACAAGTGGAAATATCATCACCTGCAAGAGGTCATGTCTGAAACCCAACACTGTGGACCAACTAGTGTTTCTTGCACTCAACATGTAAATGTTGACATACGTTTCTACCTCTTTATTGTTATTGTAGGTTATTGTTTGTGCTTTATGTTTGCACATTTGTTCATGAATTATTAGGCCTAATGCTTTAAACAGAGTTCTAATCTGTTCAACCCTGATGACATCAGTGATGTTAACACAAAATGCTGCACTACTATGTTACAGTTAAGAGGGGTGGGTAAGAGAAAACGGCTTCGGTATCGTGATATAAAATAATCCATATCGTGATATAGTTTTTTTTCCATATCGCCCAGCCCTACAGTAAATACATAAAAGATTCCCTGATGACTGCCGATGCAAACTCTCCCCTATAAAACCTAAAACTAATTCTTATAAGAGAGGAAAATCTGTATTAGTCTTCATTAAATGTAGCATATTGTTGTACATAATCGATTGCTTTATTTTTGGTGTCAGCTTTTGGTCAATATGCTAACCTTAAAAGGTCAAAGTGGGAAAATGTAGTAGTAGTAGACAAATTAGCAATTAGAGGAGGCAATAACAATTACAATTCCTTTAGGGAAAGGGGAAGGAAAATCATTTATTAAGAGGAAAGAAATTGAAAAATGGCAAAAAAGGTGGAATGAAGATAAAAAAGGAAGAAGGTTATATAAAGTACAAAAGTCAGTATTAAATAGAAATATTAATGAGAGAAACCGAAGGGAAGAAATAATAATGATCAGATTAAGAGTAGGTCATACTTATTCAAATTACAATTTATACTTAATAGGGAGGAAAAATAATGATAAATGTGAAGGATGTGGAGAGATAGAAAATGTATAACATGTATTGATGAACTTTAAAACATCTGGACCTGAAAGGAAGAAATTGAAAAGAGTTGAAAGGACAGGCCAAGAATGGAGTCTTAAAGGATTATTGGGAAATAAAGGAAATATAAAAGATATTTATAGATTAAGGAAAGCATTATTTATTTATCTTCAGAATACAAAATTAAAAAATAGAATTTAATAGATGTAAAACAATGTTGCTACACACTCATGAACAGTAGGTGGCGGTATGCCCGCCCCTTCCCTAGAGCCCGGTGGGATCGAAAACATTTTGAATGGAAATCAGTGGGGAGAAATTAATAAACTTCTGGTCCCAGTCGCTCTCTGTCACTGATTCCAGATATGCTGGTTGTGTATTCAAATTGTTTTTTGTTTTTTTTAGTTCCTCTTTGGTCAAAATCTGGTCAAAACCCATCAATGAGATCGCACCAAACAGGAAGTTAATTGCACAAAGGATCCGGTAGATTTCCAAATAAAACACATCCGATCTTAACCCATGATCCCTTTTTTAAACTAGTTTAATTAGTTTCTCCCGTATGCCACGACGTAATGCATTGATCTGAAAATCAACCTCAGACGCAACGCACGCAGTGGCGAGGGTTTGATCCGTCAGATGGAGTTAAATCACAAAGAATTCAATGTTGAATCGGGGCGGCAGCTAAATGCTAGGCGATGGGTAGCAGCCAAAACGTTGCAATTTCACATAATCCTGACGAGATCCGAAAAACGTAGCAAAAACTAGCAAGCGGGTGATTATGTATGTTCACGAAGTAAATATTATGTAAATAAACCCTACACTTCTCGCTATAAATGTAATCAAAACCCATTTAAATGCAGAAACTGATTGAAATTATTGATTTTCCCACTGAAATTTAGAGAAATCTCAGCCATGTTTATACCAAAATGTTACAGTTTCACATTATCTTGAAAAATCTTTGCAAGAAACGAACAAGCAAGTGAATATGTACATTCCCTGAGTAAATATTCTGGCAACAAACTATACATTTCTCACTAGAAATGTAATCAAAACTCATTTTAATGCAAAAACAAACTCAAGTCATTAATCTTTCCACAAAAAAATGAGCGAATGTCGGCCATATATATGTTTTTTTTCTTCTCCCAGCTGGAATCTTGAAAGTCACGTGACTAGGACGTAAAACAATAGAAAGCGTATAGGCAGAAGAAACGTAACAGTACCACAAAAAAATGGCCATTAATGTACCTCCACTACGTTTTGCAGTGTGGACCAACGTAGTGGGGGTACATTTTCCCATGAGACTGGGTTGATAGTGTATATATATTAGGGGTGGAACGGTTCACAAAATCCACCGTTCGGTTCGGATCACGGTTTCATGGTCATGGTTTTTGGTTTAACAAACAATTCCTTGAGTTATTGAATGAGTTAAAGAGTGAGTGAAATACTTAGCTTTCCTAAGGATGCTTGTCCTGCTGATAATGGAGAACTTTGGATCTGAACACAAAAGACATAGTGAAGAGACAGTTTGCTTAGTTATTAAATAAGTTAAAGAGTGATTGAAATACTTATATTTTCCTTGAATGCTGTTTGTCCTGTTGATGTGTGTCCTCTGGATCTGAATCTATAGACATAGTGAAGAGACAGGTTTAAGTAAATAGTTCCTTGAAATAGAGACTGAGTTAAAGAGTGAGTAAAATACTTATCTTTTCTAAGGATGATGGTCCTACTGATGATAGAGGTCCTGTGGATCTGAGACTAAAGACATGGTTTTAGTAAATAGTTCATTTAGTTGTTGAATGAGTTAAAGAGTGAGTGAAATACTTATCTTTTCTGTGGATGCTGGTCCTCCTGGTGATGGATGTCCTCCGAATTTAATTCTAAAGACATAGTAAAGACACAGGGTTAAAGTAAACAGTTCCTTCAGTTAGAGAATGAGTGAAATAGTGAGTGAATTACTTATCTTTTCTAAGGATGCTGGTCCTGCTGATGATGGAGAACTTTGGATCTGAAAACTAAAGACATAGTGAAGTTACAGGGTTTTGGGAAATAGTTCCTTCAGTTATAGAATGAGTTAAAAAATTAGTCAAATACTTATCTTTTCTGTGGATTCTGGTCCTCCTCATGATAGAGCTCCTCTGGATCTGAGGCTAAAGACATAGGGAAGAGACTGGGTTAAAGCAAACAGTTTCTATAGTTATTGAATGAGTTGAAGAGTGAGTGAAATACTTATCTTTTCTGTGGATGCTTGTGCTCCTGTTGATGGATGTCCTCCGGATCTGAATATAAAGACATAGTAAAGAGACAGGGTTTTATAAAACAGTTCCTTTAGTTGTAGAATGAGTTAAAAATTAGTCTAATACTTATCTTTTCTGTGGATTCTGGTCCTCCTGATGATGAAGGTCCTTTGGATCTGAACTTAAATACATAGTAAAGAGACAGGGTTTTAGAAAATAGTTTCCTTAGATATTGAATAAGTTACAGAGTGAGAGAAATACTTATCTTTTCTGTGAATGCTGTTCGTCCTGTTGATGGTGTCCTCTGGATCTGAATCTAAACACATAGTGAAGAGACAGGGTTTAAGTAAATAGTTCCTTCAGTTATAGATTAAGTTAAAGAGTGAGTGAAATGCTTATCTTTTCTAAGGATGCAGGTCCTGCTGATGATGGAGAACTTTGGATCTTAAAACTAAAGACATTGTGAAAAGACAGAGCTTTAGTAAGTTGTGCCTTTAGTTATTGAATGAGTTAATGAGTGAGTGAAATCTTTTCTGTGGATTCTGGTGCACCTTATAATGAAGGTCCTCTGGATCTGAAACTAAAGACATACTAAAGAGAGTCTCCTTTCTCTCGCTCCTCTGCAAATGCTTAGGCACCGTCTGCACTTCATAAAAATAATCAGAGAGAAATATTCAAAAGCGTCTCCAAGGAGAGGTGGATTATAATCAAATTAATTTCATGTGTATCTCATCTCTTGCATATATCAAAATTACGTCATTAGAAAATAATACTTTTTTTGAGGAATGTCCCAAAGCCTAAAAGACAATTAACTAACTATTTCATTATTAGAATAAGTATAAAATGAGCAATGACTACACTATAGATCATTGTAGTGCCACCAAACCTGTAGCACACATAAATAACCTCATCTAGTTCATACTACAACTCTTACTTTGGGGAAATGTGCTAAACTCTTTTTTTTTTTTTAGATTTTCTTTCATTGTTATTATAAGCATATAATACACTGAAAAAAATAATGCAACTATTTTTGGCTTTCACTTAATTATATTTAGTTACTTTCACACAATTGTTTCATGTTAGCAGGGTAGGATTTTCACAATTTAACAATTGTGTTAAAGTAACTAAATATGATTGAGTAAATGCCAAAAGCAGATGCATTAGTTTTTTCAGTGTAGCCAATAATTACACTATAGATCATTGTAGTGCCAACAAACTTGTAGCACACATAGATAACCTTGTCTAGTTCATACTACACTTAGTTACTTTCAGCATATGGACTAAACTCTATTTTCTTTTTTAGATTTTTTCATTGTTATTATAAGCAGGCCAGGTGTGCAATCTCTGCAACAGGAACCACAGCACTGAGCGTTGTGTGCACTGCACAAAGTATAACTGTCACAAATGCAGGAAGGACTCACCTTGGGTTTGTAAAAACTGCTAAATGGGACAATTGTAGCTTCATATGTAGTGCTTTTCCTTGGGTGAAATAAATGTTACTGCTATACTGAAATCATTCTGTTTGTCATTCTCTAAGCTGAAATGTTGAATGATGTGAAAAGGGCGATAACAGACCTTTCATATTGAGCTTTGCAATATAAATGAGTCTGTTGGTGAATGGACAAT